ATATATATGACACATAATTTCCCAAATTGTCTCACTCGAAATATCTTAACCAAAAATTGACTTCCAGCATCACTTTTGGATTGTTTCAATTATTATGTCATATCATTTTTAAAATATTCTTTTACTATTTCATATGAAATCTATGTCGTTCGATAGAGCTGAACTTGCTCGACAAAGGTCTATGTGGATTATTTCTATCTAGCCTTAGTAGATGGAGGCCTGGGTTTCGCTTTAGTCTGAAGTTTATGTTGCCGACGAATCTTTCAGCAAGAACCATGATGTAAAAATAGTTTTTGATTTTCCAATAGGACTAGTGATGGGACGTAACGCCTTCGACTCAAGTGAAATGATGTATTTCATTATACTGAATGAAGGAAAGGAAAGAAAAACAAGCGTAACGACATATCATCTGTCTTTTTTCTTTCTCTCGATTATACGTGAACTACAACGAATGTTCTTTGGTTATATCGTGAATTGTTTCACTTTACCTGCGCCAGAGGCATTCAAACGTAGCCTTACGTGATAATTTCTTCGTTATCTCAAATATATAAAAGATTTAAAATATAGCGTGTATTTATACGTCTAACGCTGAAATAACATAATGATTATTTCTAACGTAAGAAATATAGAATATGCGTTCTTATTGTTGAAAATTTCTATTCATATGCTCTGAAATTAAAGAAGAACTTTACATTTTACATGAATCTTTCGATTTCAACTATTAGAAGGATTAAATTCAGGCTAGTTAATCCTTAAAAAAATTCAAGTATATATATGATAAAAGATAATTATTTCGTTTGCTACAAAGTCATATAAAATCATAGTACCATAAAATAAATTTTTAAAATTTTTCTAATGCTTGAAATCAAAGTTTCAAAGAATTTTTCTTCTGCTTGGATAGGATAAATGATTGAATTTTGCGTTTTACCTAAAGAATTGGATACTGATATAAAGTGCGATGCAATTCGAACAAAATAATGCATTTTACTAACTCTAAGATAGACAACATACATTATTCTTTGCATTAATCTACAAAAATATGTGTTTTCATTTTAGTTCGATTTTAGTATACGTATTTTTCGGTTTTTCTATCATGTCAAGCACTAATACGACCAGTTCTCATTTATCACCCTCGAATACAAATACAAATACGAATTCATCGTCATCATTAATATCATCATCTTTATTATTCTCGTATTCATCTCTATCACCGTCATTTTCTACATCACCACCCATCATGAATTCAACCGTCATGTCATCAACATCAGCAGTGTATCATCCAACAGCAGTTACTTCAACATCTGCTGGATCAGGAACAGGAAGACCAATAACAAGGGCAAAATGTAGTTTAGTTTGGCAATATTCCAAATCTATGCAAAACGTTGTATTGAAGGTGTGGGTGTGTTTTATGTTCTTCAATAATCTTTCGGAAAGCATCATCAACTTTAAATTTGTTATATCATATGCAAACTCACCACAATCTTGAATGTTCAAATTAAAATAAGTCCATGAAATTGCAAGCAAGGCAATCTGATTTATCAGGAAGATGACCTTTAACAAGCGATCGAACAGTATATTTATACAAACTGATTGCTGATTTAATTATGCACAACTTTTTTTCATTGTCGATTGTTGGAAGTCCTCAATTAAAATCGATTTTTTATGAAGCTGAACCATCTTATGTAATACCTACCAGAAAATATTTCATTAATAATGTACTACAAGCTATGTACAAAGAGGCCAGAGAACAAGTTTATACTGAATTACAAGCTTTACCCGGTATTCAAGTTGATATTTTAATTGACTTTTAATTTTTTTTGTGTGATTTTTCAGGTATTTGTTTAACAAGAGATATTTTGACGTCTGACGCTAATCAAGCGTTTATGACTGTAACAGCACATTTTGTTGATATACAAAACAAAAAGATAAAGAGCTTCGTATTAGTTACGAAAGAATTCACTGGAAATCATACCACTGAGCGTATCATTGAAAGGTTAGATGAAATTTATGATGAGTGGTCAATTGCTGATAAAGTTATTTGTTTAGTTTCAGATACTTATAATACAATAAAGAAAGTTGGCAAAGATTTTTGAAAAGGTCTGAACTAAGAAATATTTTTAAATAAATTAATTCCACATAAAAATTTCACTTGATCTAATTGCATTCTTTGTCAGAGGTTCTACTAAATTATATGTAACTTGAGATAGACTATTCAGATGAGAATTAGGATAACAACTTCATCGCACAATTATTCGATTTCGAAAGAGAAGTATGAGTGAATTGATTTCTTTTCAATCATCAGCATCATGATTCATATTTATACGATAAATTTTGTTATTATTGACATAACGCAGTAGTTTATTGATAGCTGTTTTTTGTTTCAACATCTTATCAAAATTAAAGAAAAATATTTTTCGAAATACTAATCTGAATAGGTTCTTTCTGCTGCTACATCGTTTAATAGAATTGCTCACGAAAAGTACTATTGACTCAGCACTTGATTCTTTACGTGAATCATTCCCTATTTTTATACGGCAAATTCTCTTCATCTAAGTTGGATTAGATGTACCGATCATGTTCTCAATTTAACTGTCAGTGGTGTTGTTCGTAAATTAGATGAAGTGAGGAATATGCTAACAACAACTTGACATAACGTTTTATTCACTAGAGATAGCCATCTAGATAATGAAATTTTAAATAAATATCAATGTTCATTTGGTAAGAAAGTATTTGATTTCTTTAGTAATTTAATAAAAAAAAACTAATTTTAGGTTTTGCTAAATGTCAACTGATATTCGACGTCATTACTCGGTGGAACAGTACTTTTTACATGATTCAACGATTTGTGGAAGAAAAAGTTTGTGTAATGGTGTGTTTGAAAGAGAAAATCTTTCAAAAGCATTGTTCTGATTGTAAAATTCCAAAATCAATAGAATGGGATTATCTCGAAGAATTGATGGTGGGTACTTCCACGCAGGTCCGCCCAGATTTACATCGACTTTCTACCGGCAAGATTTCACTATGCTAGTTTTGTAGCCCTCGTCGAGTTATGTAGG